ATACCGTATTTCCCCATGTATAAGCACCCCCTTTGTATAAGCCACCCCCCCAATTTTTGGACTGTGAAGTTTTGAAAAAAATATTTTATTAGAGAAACAAGTTATGAAGAAAGAAAATTTACAAAGAAACAAAATTCGACGTCTAGATCTACAACTTCGGTCATGACGCCGAAAGCGGTGCGGGCGACGCTAGCAATCTACGCATCGGAACGAGAGTAGGAACGAAGCATTCAGGCCGATGCCTAGCGTATGCATTTCTATCGCGTACTCGCACTCGTAATCGTATCATCACGTACAATTTTTACAAAAAAGTATAGCATACTGCTGGAAAACCAGTTTATTCCTACTTTATTATTTTATGCATTTTTCACGTATAAAAAGTGTACCTGCTTTGTATATGCCACCCCCCTACTTTTTGGGCTTAAAATTTTTGGAAAAAAGGGGTGGCTTATACATGGGGAAATACAGTAAGTGCAAGCTCCCTAATTCGATCAAGTCTACTTCACAAAAAAGAAATAACAGAAGGCCCTCAATTTTAAGTTGAACTTGTGAATTTAGTTCCCCAGAAATATTTCGCTACCCTAGCCCGAAACATAATTACTGTTATATCATCATCATCATCATCATCATCATCATCTTTTAATGACCCCATAATCTCTTGTGGGGTGGAGTCTGGGCAACTGAATGGAGCTGAGTGTTGACTGGCCGGATGCCGTTCCTGTCACCAATGCGGAGTTATATTCAGCAAATATAATCTCAGTGTGCCCAGAGAGAAAAATATCTGCCTCTCCCTAGGGTTGAACTCACAGCCTCCTGATTGTGAGATGAGAGCTCCACCTCTAGGCCACCACTATTAATCTTACTATTGTTGTTCTTCTCTGTACCCTTTCCAATTACTTAGTGTCCTTCAGATATTACACTGCTCAAAAAAATAAAGGGAACACAAAAATAAGACATCCTAGATCTGAATGAATGAAATAATCTTATTAAATACTTTGTTCATTACATAGTTGAATGTGCTGACAACAAAATCACACAAAAATTATCAATGGAAATCAAATTTAGCAACCCATGGAGGTCTGGATTTGGAGTTACACTCAAAATTAAAGTGGAAAAAAACACTACAGGCTGATCCAACTTTGATGTAATGTCCTTAAAACAAGTCAAAATGAGGCTCAGTAGTGTGTGTGGCCTCCACGTGCCTGTATGACCTCCCTACAATGCCTGGGCATGCTCCTGATGAGGTGGTGGATGGTCTCCTGAGGGATCTCCTCCCACACCTGGACTAAAGCATCCTCCAACTCCTGGACAGTCTGTGATGCAATGTGACATTGGTGGATGGAGCGAGACATGATGTCCCAGATGTGCTCAATTGGATTCAGGTCTGGGGAACAGGCAGGCCAGTCGATAGCATCAATGCCTTCGTTTTGCAGGAACTGCTGAAACACTCCAGCCACATGAGGTCTAGCATTGTCATGCATTAGGAGGAACCAGAGCCAATTGCACCAGCATATGGTCTCACAAGGGGTCTGAGGATCTCATCTCGGTACTTAATGGCAGTCAGGCTACCTCTGGCGAGCACATGGAGGGCCGTGTGGCCCCCTAAAGAAATGCCACCTCACACCATTACTGACCCACTGCCAAAACGGTCATGCTGGAGGATGTTGCAGGCAGCAGAACGTTCTCCACGGCGTCTCCAGACCCTGTCACGTCTGTCATATGTGCTCAGTGTGAACCTGCTTTCATCTGTGAAGAGCACAGGGCGCCAGTGGCGAATTTGCCAATCTTGGTGTTCTCTGGCAAATGCCAAACGTCCTGCACGGTGTTGGGCTGTAAGCACAACCCCCACCTGTGGACGTCAGGCCCTCATACCACCCTCATGGAGTCTGTTTCTGACCGTTTGAGCAGCCACATGCACATTTGTGGCCTGCTGGAGGTCATTTTGCAGGGCTCTGGCAGTGCTCCTCCTGTCCCTCCTTGCACAAAGCAGAGGTAGCGGTCCTGATGCTGGGTTGTTGCCCTCCTACGGCCTCCTACACGTCTCCTGATGTACTGGCCTGTCTCCTGGTAGTGCCTCCATGCTTTGGACACTATGCTGACAGACAAAGCAAACCTTCTTGCCACAGCTCGCATTGATGTGCCATCCTGGATGAGCTGCACTACCTGAGCCACTTGTGTGGGTTGTAGACTCCGTCTCGTGCTACCACTAGAGTGAAAGCACTGCCAGCATTCAAAAGTGACCAAACCATCAGCCAGAAAGTATAGGAACTGAGAAGTGGTCTGTGGTCACCACCTCCAGAACCATTCTTTTATTGGGGATGTCTTGCTAACTGCCTATGCTTTCCACCTGTTGTCTATTCCATTTGCACAACAGCATGTGAAATTGATTGTCAATCAGTGTTGCTACCTAGGTGGACAGTTTGATTTCACAGAAGTGTGATTGTCTTGGAGTTACATTGTGTTGTTGAAGTGTTCCCTTTATTTTTTTTTGAGCAGTGTATAATGACCAGAACTAGATCTAGTATTCTAGATTCAACTCTGAGCAGTGTAACATAGACAGCATTATCATTTCCCACAATCTTGACATTACATTTCTGTTGATGCTGCCCAAAATTGCATTAGCAGTTGCAGCATATTGCTGTTTTGTGCTTAATTGCTGGCCTACCAGACATTAAATCCTTCTCACAATTGCTCTTAAGCAAGGTACCTATTAGAGCTGTGGTGGTGCAGTGGTTAGAATGCAGTGTTACAGGCTAATTTAACCAACTGCCAGAAATGCCATCCTGACTGGCTCAAGGTTGATTCAGCCTTCCATCCTTCCGAGGTCTGTAAAATGAGGACCCAGATTGTTGGGGGAAATATGCCGACTCTGTAAACTGCTTAGAGAACTCTGTAAAGCACTATGAAGCAGTATATAAATCTAAGTGCTATTGTTATTTTAAGTCCATAATTCTTTTGTGCTTTAAGAACACTGCACCTGCAGTAGATGACAATATAGTGCCTGTGCCATACCTGTGCATCTCGGTTTCCGTACCTAAGTGCAGAACCCTACAGTTTAGAAATTACTCAGGAAGGTGATCTATAACTTCCACACATGTACAAATAAACGACATGGTCCAAGTCACAGATCTTTTATTTCTTATTCATGATAGAACAGCATCTCCTGCAGGCTTTCTCTTGTGCTATACATGTAGCCCTTGACTGATGAAGCATCATTTAGTGACTGTTTGAAGTTACGATGCCCCCACCCAAAGTTATTTGCAACCTGGTTTTTAAGTTCTCCTGTTGCCCTCCTCCCATGGTCATGTGATTGCATATAAGATGTTTGGCAACCAGCCCACATTTCCAGATGTTTGCAGTGCTCTTCAATCACTGGACAGCTGTTCTAATCCAGCTCCCCAAGCATGAGAAACCTTCTGTATTTAAATCAATGATTCCTTTATTAGGAGCACCAACCGCCCCGGCAAAAAGTTTCTCTCTCAACACAGGCTAACAAGTCTGTCTGGCAGGGAGATGAATATTCATCTCTGTCCCCTGCCTTTTATCTGCAGAGTTAGGGTGGGGTTTCACTAGCAGCGGTAGCTCTTCTGTCCCAAGAATCGGCCCATGGATTTCCACTGCTCTCCTCTCCTCTGCCTTCTGTGCACCCACACATTAGGCACTGAGCCCAGCTATTCCTCCTCTTCCTCATAAGTCACATCCAGACCTGGGGGCTGATGGA